TTCACTATGTTGGTCAGGCTGGTCTTGAACTCCCGACCTCAGGTGATCCACCTGCCTTGGCCTCCAAAGTGCTTGGTGGCGTGAGCCACCACGCCCGTCCCAATGCAGTGTTATAGACAAGTGGATAAAAAATATAAGTGCATGTACTGCTTATGAAAACATGTTTTAAAATAAGGACATTGATTCTTACTCAATGTCATGCTTCTAATGGCCAGGTTTTTTTTTTTGGTTTGTTTTTTTAAAGAAAAAAAAGCCCCTATAAATGTTTTGTAACAAATTTATATGGAAAACATTTAAGGAGTCAGGTGTGGTGGCTCAAGCCTGTAGTACTGTAGTACCAGCTACTCAGAAGGCTGAGCTTGCAGGATTGCTTGAGTCTAGGAGTTTGAGACCAGGCTGGGCAGCACAGTAAGATCTTCATCTTTAAAACAAACAAATAAGGCTGGGTGTGGTGGCTGATGCCTGTAATCCCAGTATTTTGGGAGCCCAAGGCATATGGATCACTTGAGGTCAAGAGTTTGAGACCAGCCTGGCCAACATGTTTATGGGTCAAGATGGCCAGGGGGAGACCTATGTTAATTCTAGCTAAATAATTATAAGCTTGCTTGGCTCAGAATACACTGAAGTTTATACATTGAACTAAACTATATTATTGGTGTTAATTAGAAATCACTTAATTAGAAATCAAGCGGCAACAGGAGGCCTAAGGTAAAGACCATCTGAGAGCACAGTAACACCAGGGAACACCGAGGGGTGACTTCTGAGCAGGCAATACTGCTCTGGTCCCATAAATGCCTTCTCAACATGGAGACTGCATGAGGGTCTGTTAAAAGAGGGCTTATGAAAAGATCTCTGAGAAGGGAGGCTACTCTGCTCTCAAAATTTGGAAGGGTCTTTGCAGATGGGAGCTGGCAAGGAGAAGAAAAGCCTTGCAGGGCAGAGATCACGGAATGCCTCAGGCTGTGCCTAGGTTCTAGGAATTTGGAGTGATTTTAATTGCTCTATGTCCTAATTGTTCAGGAGATAAAAGCCCCTGGATGCATTGGATGCAGTCAGACTGGGTGGCTCCTCATTCACTATTCTTCTGAAGCAGCTGCACCCTGATAACAAATGGTGATAAATTCAGAGTACCAGTTTAGCATGTCTTAGAAGGATCTCCAGTGCTCTCCCCACCCACAAACCCCCGCTACCCCCATCTTACCTTCTACCCCATCACCCTCCCCTTCCATGCCCATAAGATCAATGAGATTATGCATGTAATAAAAGTGTTTGGAGCCCAGAGCTTGGGGCCAGTGCGGATCCTATGCTTGGGTTGGTCCCCTGGACCCATGCTGTAAATCTACCCTTGTGTCTCCGTCTTCATTTTCTTTTCTCAACCCTTCATCACCGCTGGGACTAAGGGCACCCACGTACGGGGCTGGGTTACTCAACGCATGTTGAAATCCTGTTTCTATTAAAAAATACAAAAATTAGCTGGGCATAGTGGTGGCCACCTGTAATCCCAGGTACTTGGGAGGCTGAGGCAGGAAAATCGCTTGAACCTCGGAGGTGGAGGTTGCAGTGAGCTGAGATTGTCCCACTGCAGTATAGCCTAGACAACAAAGTGAGATTCTGACTCAAAATAAATAAATAAATAAATAAATAAATAATTTTTAAAAAGAAACTATAAAATGATTAAGAATAAATACTAATTAAACTTACTTGATTTTATCATTCAGGTCTTATATAAACAGATATTTTAAAAACTTAAATAACTTGAAACTTTTTTTTAACTTAATTTTTTTTAAAAGATGGGGTTTCACCATGATGGCCAGGCTGGTCTTGAACTCCTGACCTCAAGTGATCCACCCACCTCGGCCTCCCAAAGTGCTAGGATTACAGGTGTGAGCCACTGCGCCTGCCTATAACTTGAGATTTTTTAAAAATTTCTTTCTTGGTGTCTTGGAGAAAGAAAAAAAGAAAACATTTATGGATCAGAAAGAAAAATAAGAGAATGTAAAGTACAAGGTCTTTGGCAAGTGCATACTTGGCAAAAGACATTGGGTTGATACAAAACAAGATATAAACATCTTAGGCATCTGGGTGTTTTAATTTCTTTTCACCCTTTCTTACTATTTCCTGTGTAGCCTTCTAAAGACAGGCTTCCTGTTGAGAAGCTGAGGTGAAGAGGGAGACCCTGGCTTCTCAGATCAACTTCCCCTTTGACTATCATGCTGCATTTCAATAGAAGAAAAGGTTGACAGACTGGCGACTCTGGTTATACATTCCAATAGGTGACAGGCTAGGCCTTGGGGAAACTCCCAAGAGGCACTATTTCTTTTTTTTTTTTTTTTTTTTTTTTTGAGACAGAGTTT